ATAGATAGATAGATAGATAGATATAGATATGACTTGTGCATTAATATTTAATCTTAAAATTGGATCACTGTCATACAGCGACGCCACTGGTTGGATTGCAATGACACGAGTGCCATGTTTGCTCTATTTAGAGGAAGATCAATAGTAACCCATATATCTGTCCTGGAGATCAATCGGAGCCTATTTCTGATCTCCATCGACGGCCTCTTCTTTGTTTATCCTCGCTTATCCTTCCCTTCCTCTCGTGGCGGAGAGCAGATCAAGCAAATGGTTGATGCATTGTGAACGTATGAACATGTCAACAGCTTTATTGGTTTCACACACAGCCCAGCACGCTGTCCCAGTTTCCTGCTCTCTGCTTTTACTCCTCCTTTCTCTTTCTCCTTTTCTTTATTTCTAAATCACCGATTGCCAGCTAAAAATAGGCATCACTGTGGCTCACATGAAGCTCATCATATTACATGCTTCGCATAAAGACTTCCATCTACACGATCAGCTGTCTGGCAAACTCCACATTTAAGATTTTTCTGGCCGCGCTTGTATAAAACAAACCAGAGGTGTAACACTTGAGGGGCCAGTTTAAACCACACCAAACAAACAGGTGTGAAAGCATCTTGCAGCGTGTTGGCGTCGGCTGCATTCTTCTCTCGCTGCTGTGGCAGTTATTTCAACGATTGCGACGCTCGCTGTCTTGAAGCCGCCTGTGTTTGGAACAGCTTCGGTTTGCTCTCTGCACAAAGACTGTGTCTAAGAGGATGAGTTTGAGGGTGTTAAAGTGAAGGATGCTCTGTGTGTGAGTCCCTGCAGCAGAGGAGAAACTTAAAGCTCCGATTTATCTTTTGGCCCAAACAAAAAAAAAACAACAAACTAGCTCTGCTAAAGCATGCAAAACAATATTATAAAGTTCTGTTAGTCTCATCCACAAATGTCTTTTTTTCATATCAGTCGTCGTTTTGTTTGCTTTTTCTCCACTGCCTCTGTCGGAGGCCACGCTTGATGAAACTTTAATGAAAGCAAGAAGCTTTCAGTACGTCCAAAAAAAATCTGTTTGTATTTTCAGCAAGAAAGACCAAAAAGCTCTTCCAGTTCAACTGTTTTTCCCATCAAACATTTACTGTTAAAGTGGAACAATGTAGAAGAAAACGCCATCAAATGGCACCACAGAGAGTGAACACGATGCTCTCTGGTTTATATTGGGTGTAGGTGTAAGTGAGAGATGGGGGGTGGAGTACACGTGTTACTTAGACTAATTGATGTCAGTTTGCTTCTTGTGTTTTGTGACTGTGCTGTCGGGTGTGAGATTTATTATTGTTATTTGTGTCTACACACACACACACACGTGGATGTGGGTGTATGCTTGTTTGGGAGTACATCCAGTTGACGGATGCAGCTGGTGCATAAAATCTAATCCAGATATAAAGGGGAGAATAAAAACCTGATTGGCACAGAAAGAGAAAGGGAGAGCGTGTTTGACAATCAGTGCCACGGCTCATTAAGGCCCATAATACATCATTAGTGTGTTTGGATATACAGATGTATAGCTGATTGGAATGCGGCACACGTCGGCCATTTCCCTGCATTTTGCTGCCTGCGTCATTTAGACAGCCATTCTCTGCATCAAGCTAACACTGCTTTCCATTATTTCTATGGTAAAAACAACTTCTTTTAAATGACAACAAGTCTCAGAAACCTCAGAGACTGCAGAGTTCCTCCTCTTCAGCTCTTTGAGACGGCTTCTGAGTCAAACCACATGGACTTTCAGGTTTAATCAAGTGTCAGACTCAAGGACTTAAAAATGAACCAGGGAACCAGTTTAGCTCAAAAGTTCAAAAAGTCTGATCTCTTAAAAAACTGCAGCTTTGACAGTGGTCACTAGAGACTGGCTCCAAACGCGAGTCAGTCCCCTCACACTCCTGACTTCATAACATTAAAAACATGGACACAGCTGCCGTGATGTCACTAACAGGTTTCTATGGTGCTATTTTGATGAGCAGTGGGTGTGGCCAGAAGGGGGCGTGAAACAGCGAGCTCACTATTAAAAGACTTGTGGTTGACAAGTTGTTAGCCG